AAATGGTTCCAAGAATGGAATCACAGATTTGACAAATATATTAAGTGTAATGTACTTTGAAGGTGGTAAAGTTATTTTGTAGAGAAATTTAAATACATAGCTTTGGGGAAAAATCCGTTTTTTGGGTACTCCCTTGTAAGTATATTTTGGATGAGTATTGTTAGAGCCATAGGTCAGACTACTGATTTCGTGATTCATGATTCTTAACACTTGCAAAATACACTTATCTGTCCATGACTCCAAAGCCTCAGTGCATCATTCCTGATTGTATTTTCGGATGGCAACAAATATTTCACATTCTATAAGTTCTTATAATTTGACTTAATTACTGCTTTTATATAGAGTCATGGGTCTCTGCCCTCTCTCATTGGGCCTGCTTTGATTAACCTTTGTGATTGCCTTGACCATAAGCTTCGAGTGATGTAAGGTGACTTCTGAGGCCAGGTCACAGCATGTCATGTGCCTATGCCGTGCTCCCTCGGCTGCTAACTCTTGGAACCCAGCTGCCTTGCTGTGAGACTAAGCAACCAGAGGAGAGGTCCAATTGAAGAGGAATCGACACTTCTCCTAACTGTCCTGGCTGAGCTTCCAGGAACAATTTGCTAGCCATGTGAACAAGCCGTTTTTAAAAGTAGAGCTGTTAGCCTCAGTTGAAATGCCCATTTAATGCTGTGAGGAGCATAAACAAAGTTGCAGATATGGGAACAAAATAAATGATCCTTGTTATTTTAAGCTACCGGGTTTTGGGGATGGTTTGCTGTGCAGTGATAAATGCTTAGAACACACTCCAATGATCTCACCTGTTTCTGTGGCATTAGCTACACTGCTTCTCAAAGATGAAATCTAGGTCACATATTTCTCATGGGCTCCTGTCCCATATAGTTAACTACTTAGTTAGATGTATGTGGAGGCTTCAAAAATTTTGTGGGATTACGGAATTAAAAGATTAAAAAATGTTTCCACACATTGTTTGAAGCCCCCTTGTAGTTCTTCTTAGGCTTGAACATATCCAAATTTGAGGTCTTATCCTTTTCCATCACCTGTGTTTTGTCCATTATTTCGGTTAATTCATACATTTATGTGAAAAACAAAGCCATTCTTAAATTCCCACATCTTCCTGCATCAAATTTTGCATTTTAAAAATACATACATGATCATGCCATAATAATTCTTACAATTCATAAGTGGCTTTGGTTTACTGTGGGCTCAAAAACACTTTGTAACATGACCTGACTGAATAACTATCTTGAGCATATCCACCTGAATTGTAAGTTTCCAACTTCCCTAATAAACCCTGTAATTGTCGGTGTTGCCATTGCATTGAATTAGAACCTAGAAAAGAAGTCGAGAATGCTGTGGGAGATAAACCTGAAAAACTAGAGTGCTGTTTGTGGGAGCCAGTACACTGCCTTTTTTATTTCTTTACATCCTTATATCTTTATCTCTCTTTAAAAATTCCTCTACTGTAGTTTTCTGTAGGATTTCTGGAAGGAGTGCAATGCAGTTAAAAGTGCACGTTGAACCTCCTATTGTAACTCAACTATTTTTCATAGTTTTGTTATAGATCATCTATTATATGATGTATTCTTTCATTTGGTAGGTATTATTTCATAGTTACATATTCCATTTCAGTGATAAGTCTTTATCAATACCATATTATTTTAATTATTATTTTATCATATACCTATTCCCTATAGTTATAATTTCATGTTTAACTCCTTATAAAAACTAAGTTTTTAAATGTTTAAACTATATAGGTACATTTAGAACATTTAGGAAATTAGGAGATCATTTTTGTTAATGGTAGATTTATTTCACAACCTTTTTTTTTAACTTAGGACTTTACTAGTAAGAATTAACTAAATTTAAAGTTAACTATTGTTGGTACATTATTATTAATTATGCCTTTTTTTTTTTTTCCCAAATGAAGACCGAAGTTGCTGAAGATCCTCAGCAAGTTTCAACTATTCATCTCCAGCTAGGATTACCCTTGGTGTTTATTGTTAGTCAGCAAGTAACATATGCAGCTGATAGAAGAACTGCCGAATGGGTTGCTTGGCGTCTTCTGGGGAAAGCTGGAGTTCTCCTCTTACTAAGGTATCACAAAATTGAGTGTTATTGGAGAGTTCAAAGTGCTTCATTGCTAAGCAAAAGCTCAGTGGTTTGAACCCACCAGGTGCTACACAGGAGAAAGATGTGGCAATCTGTTTTTGTCAAGATTTAGTCTTGGAAACAGTGGGGCAGATCTGCCCTGTCCTATAGGTTGGTATAAGTTGCAATCAACATGAATAGGAAAATGCTAATGATGATGATGATTTTTACATATGGTATCTATTCACTTGTAATAAATTGAAATTAATAGTTATAATATAGTTGGAAGTATTGCTGTGGTAACATTTGTAATTAATTTTAAACTTGATTGAAATTTAGTTGTACATCTTGCTGAAAGAAGATACAGGTTAAAATAGAAGCTAATTTATCGGTATTTATGTGTAAAAATGTTCAGGCTTACTGAATTGTAATACTGTTTCATAAGCAGTAATATAATTTATAATTCCATTCTAAATTGATTTCATGTTTTCATCTGGGTAGCAATGTAAAACATCTATTTTCATTTAAAAAGGGACTCTTTGGAAGTGAACATTCCTCAGCACACGAATGTGATCTTCAAAAGAGCAGAAGAGGTGAGTCATTTTGTTTGTTGTTCTACATGTCTCCTTAATACCAAAAGCAAACAACCTCACTGCCATCAAGTCATTTCTAATTCATAGTAGCCCTGTAGGACAGGGTAGAACTGCCCCTGTGGGTTTCTGAAACTGTAACTCTTTATGGGAGTAGAAAGTCTCATCTTTTTCCCATAGAACATCTGATGGTTTTGAACTGCTGACCTTTCAGTTAACAGCCCAACACGTAACCTGTATGCCACCAGGGCTCCATTTTCCTTACTTAAAGTAAGAGAACTCAAACTCTTGTGGGAATGTCTTGTTTGTCTTAGTCTCAGAAGTTTTTCATCTTTGACTGATTTACTACTTTTTAAAAAATATCATTTTATTGGGGGCTTGTACAACTCTTATCACAATCCATACATCCATCCATTGTGTCAAACACTTGTACATTTGTTGCCATCATTTTCAAAACATTTTCTTTCTACTTGAGCCTTTGGTATCAGCTCCTCATTTTCCCCCCTCCCTCTCCTGCCCTCCCTTCCTCACAAACCCTTGACAGTTTATAAATTATTGTTATTTTTTCATATCTTACACTGATTGATGTCTACCTTCACTCACTCTTCTGCTTCCACTCCCCAGGGAGGGGGCTATATGTAGATCCTTGTGATCGGTTCTCCTTTTCTTCCCCACCTCTTTCCCTTCCTCTCCTGGTATCTCATTATTGGTGCTGAGAGTTTTATCTGTCCTGGATTCCCTGTGTTTCCAGCTTTTATCTGTACCGGTGTACATCCTCTGGTTTAGCTGGATTTGTAAGGTAGAATTCGGGTCATGCTAGTTGGGGAGAATGCTTTAAAGAACTAGAGGAAAATTGTATGTTTCATTGGTGCTATACTGCACGCTGACTGGCTTGTCTCCTCCCCGCGACCCTTCTGTAAGGGGATGTCCAGTTGCCTACAGAAGGGCTTTGGGTCTCCACTCCGCACTCCCCCTCATTCACAGTGATCTGATTTTTTGTTCTGGGTCTTTGATGCCTGATGCCTGATTATTGACACCTCGTGATCACACAGGCTGGTGTGCTTCTTCCATGTGGGCTTTGTTGCCTCTCAGCTAAATGGCCACTTGTTTACTTTCAAGCCTTTAAGGCTCCAGACGCTATATCTTTTGATAGCTGGCACCATCCGCCTTCTTCACTACATTTGCTTATGTACCCATTTGGCCTTCAGCGATCGTGTCGGGAAGGTGAATATCATGGAATGCCAGGTGTGATAGTTAAGGTTTATTGTTTCAAGCTGGCCGATAAACACATGTGGGATTCATTGAAGGGTGGAGAGATAAATGGCTCAGTGAGCCTCACCTTTCTTGTTCTCTGGTCTCTTGTTCTCTGATGGTCAGATAAGTGTGTGGCTGCCTTAGCTAGTTCTTTGCCTCAACTGACAAGGCTCCCTTCCTGCGGGACACCCCTGAGGAGAAGCCACATGGACATCCCTGAGGAGAAGCCTGATGCAGTCCTGGATGCTGGAGAAGCCTCATGGAGACCCCTGCCAGCACTGAGATGCTTACATGCTCACTGATTTGGCTTTCCTCCTGCATTCAGCATTATTGCGTGTGTTTTGCCAGTTTGAGGAGGACTTTCTAGATCGGTGTCTGACATATGGGCTAATGTCGGACTTATGGGCTTGGATTGGACTGGGTTGGGATCCTTTCTTAATGTACACATTCTTTTTATATAAAACTCTCGCTTATATACATATGAGTTTCAGTGGATTTCTCTAGTCCATCCAGACTAACACACCAGGTTAATAGAACAAAATGTTTTTGCGTTGAGGGAGTATTTGAGTAGAGGACCAATGTCCATCTGCTACCTTCATACTAAACCTATAAATATATGTACATAGATCTATTTCTCCATCATCATATTTAAATATATTTACATATGTATATGCCTGTATTTAGCCCTCTATAAATGCCCTTTGCCTCCTAGTTCTTTTCTCTATTTCCTTTTACTTTCTTCTTGTCCCACTATCATGTTCAGCCTTCATTTGTGTTTCAATAATTCCTCTTGGTTACATTGCCCTTCTGATCTGACTACTTTTACTCATTAGTTTTAGTGGCAAATATTTGAGTTTTTCTTTTCTGACAGGTTTTCACTGTACACAGGCTCAGGTTTTTGTTGAAAACCTTATGTAGCATGGTCTCCTTTGAAACACATGAGTTGGATCCAGTCTTTGGTAATTGGCTGGTTGTTTTTGTTTATTCTTAATATAATGAATACTCTAAAGCTTACCTCAGTCCCTTTGTGTATTTGGTACATGCTCTATGGATTTATATTTTTGTTGCACTATGTTTCTGTTTAAACTTTGTGATGTTTTTGTAAGAACTAAGTCTTACTTGTTTTGAATATAACATTAAGATGATGAATGTGTATGGCCAGAGATTAAACACACACGGGGAACACACTTGGGGCTCTATTACAGTTTGCTGTAGCTATGCTATTGTTGCTAGGTGTCATTGAATTGGCTCCGTCCCACAGTGACCCTGTGCACAACAAAATGAAGCACTGCATGGTCCTCACAGTTGTTCCTGTGCCTGAGCTCATAGATGCAGCCACCGTGTCCATCATCTCTTCGAGGCATTCCTCTTTTTTCCACTCGTCCACTTTACCCAACATGATGTCCTTCTCCACAGATTGGTCTCTCCGGGCAATATGTCCGAAGTATGTAAACCAAAGCTCCATTATCCTTGCTTCTAAGGAGAACTCTGGCCTTACTTCTAATACAAACTAGTTTGTCCTTTTAGCAGTTCATGGTACTTTGAATATTCTTCTTCAGCACCACAATTCAAATGCATTTATTCTTTTACAGTCCTTATTCAGTGTCTGACTTTCACATGCATATGATGTGCATTGGAGAATACCATGGTTTGAATCAGGTGCACCTTAGTCCTCAAAGTAATATCTTTAATATTCTAAAGAGGCTTTGTGCAGCAGATTTACCTAATATGTTTTGATTTCTTGGCTGATGCTTCCATGTACATTGATTGTGGATCCAAGTAAGACAAAATCCTTGACAACTTCAGCCTTCTCTCCACTTATCATGATGTTACTTATTGGACTAGTTGTGAGAATGTTGGTCTTTCTTACATTGATTTGTAATCCATACTGAAAGCTCCAATCCTTGATCTTCATCAGCAACTGCTTCAGTTCCTCCTCCCTTTCCGTAAGCCAGGTTGTGTCACCTGCATAACAAGCCTTCCTTCAATCCTGATGCCACACTCTTCTTCATTATTTGTTCTTCATGATATCTTCTCTGATTATTTGCTCAGCATATAGATTGAATAAGTGTGGTGAGAGGGTACAGCTCTGAGGCACACCTTTCTTGATTTTAAACCATGCAGTGTTCCCTTGTTTTGTTCATACACTTCTCTTGATTCATGTATAAGTTCCAAATGAGCCTAATGAAGTATTCTGGAATTCCTATTCTTCTGAAGATTACCCACAGTTTATTATGGTCCACACAATTGACTGCCTTTGCATTGTCAATAAAACAAAAGTAAACATCTTTTTAGTATTCTCTGCTTTGAGCCAAGATCTATCTGACATCAGCAATGTTACCCCTTAGGCCCCATCCTCTTTTGAATTGGCCTGAACTTCTGGCAGTTCCCTGTCAATATATTGCTGTAACCGTTGTTGGGTGATCTTAAGAAAATTTTACTTGTGTGTGGTATCAGTTATATTGTTCTATAGTTTGAGCATTCTGTTGGGTCACTCTTTGGAACGAGCACAAATATGAATCTCTTCCAGTCAGTTGGCCAAGTAGCTGCCATTCCAAATGTCCTGGCATGGACAAGTGAGTGCTCCCATTGCTGCTTCAGCTTTCTGAAACATTTCCATGGGCATTCCATCAATTCCTAGAGTCTTGTATTTGGCTAATGCTTTCAGTGCAACCTGAGCTGCTTCCTTCAGCACCATTGGTTCTTGTTTATATGCTACCTCCTGAAATGGTGGACTGTCGACTAGTTCTTTTTGGTACAGTGACTCTGTGTATTCTTTCC